CACACACACACACACACAGACAAAAATGCTTCCAGATTATAATCATATAATGGCATAAAAATAGCTTGTTAATGTATAACACCAAAGGTGTAATCCCATGACACCAAGGCTAAACTTTTAAGGAATATTCCTTATTTTGTTGTTTGAGGGAGAAAACTTAAATAAATAAAACAAATATCCACTATAGGAGCTAAAATGGAAAACTGGTAATATGAAGTGTTGGCAAGGATAAGGAGCAAATGGAATTCTCATACCTGGATCATGGGAATTTAAACTGGTAAAACCACTTTTCAAAAGCTGGTAGGCAACTTTACATAAGTTAGACATATTTCTATTCTATCTAGCAATTAGATAGAATAGAAATATGTCTAACAGTACCAAAGAGAAATTAAAACATATACCCACAAAATATTTGTATAAGAATGTTCACAATAGCCATAAGCTAGAAACAATCCAAATGTCCATCAACAAGAAAAAAATTGGCATAGTCACACAATAGAATACTATCCAGCAATAAGAAAAGAACAGGCAACTGATTCACATAACAATATAGATAAACTGCAAACATATTAAGTTATGAGACAGGAGCCCGGACACTAAGGAGAACATATCCTTTTATATGAATTTCAAGAATAGGCCAAACTAGGGGCTGGAGCTGGAGCTCAGTGGTAGAACACTTGCCTTCCACGTGTGAGGCACTGGGTTCGAGCCTCAGCACCACATAAAAATTAATAAAGATATTTCTTTTAAAAAAGAATAGGCCAAAAAAAATAACCAAGAAATTCAAATAAATCATCAATAATTAAAAAAAAGAATAGGCCAAACTAATCAAGAATGATGAAAATCAAAACAAGGTTTACTTCTGGGAGTTGGCTGGGATTCACTGAGAAAAGACATGAAGAAATTTTCTGGGGAGGGGGATGGAAGTGTACTCTGCTTTAGTGGGGTGGATGTTAGACAAAGCAATAAAGAATAATGACCTTTTACCTTAGACAGCACAAAGGACTTTGCAGGGGTGATTACGGTTAAGGACCTTCAAATGAGGAGATTACCTGAATGGGCCCAACCAAATCATCTGAGCTCTTAAAAGCAAAGAACCTTTCTTGACTGTGATTAGAGGAGGAGAGACATTGTCACCAGAAGAAAGTGCAGAGAGATCCAAAATTGTTGGCTTTGAAAGTGGAGGTAGGGGTCATGAGCCAGGAATGTGGGAGGCCTCTACACATTAGAAAAGACAAGTTAATAGATTCTCCTCTGGAGCCCCAAGAAACACAGCTCCATTGTCACCTTAATTTTGTGCAGTAAAAGCCATTTAGATTTCTGGCCTTCAGAAGTATAAGATAATAAATTTGTGTTGCTTTAAGTCACTAAATATGTGATTTTTTTAAAGGATCAATAAAAGCAAATACACAAGGATATATGCATTAGAAAAACTCATTAAAATGTACATTCAAGATTTTCATATTTCACTGCATGTAAGTTATATCATATTCTTAATTGAATTGTGTCCTCCAAAAAGATATGTTGAAAACCTAATTCCCAGTACCTCAGAAAGACATTATTAGGGAAAAGGGGTCCCTGTGGATGTGATTAGTTACGCTGAACTCATACCAAAATAGAGTGGGCCCTTAATCAACATTGATGACTATCCCTAGAAGAAGAGGCAAGGATAGAGACAGTGCTAACACCATGTAAAGACACTGTCAGACATCAGATTGAGGAATGCTAAGGGTTGATGGCCATACCAGAAGGTAGGCAGAGGCACCCAACATCTCATAGAATATGGCTTTGCAGACAAATCCACTTTGAACTTCTGCCTCTAGAACTATGGGAAAATAAATGCCTATTGTTTTAAGCCACGTGGTTTGAGATACTTTGTGCTCTCATCTTTAGGAAATTAATATATACCTCAACTTTTTCCAAAATTCTGCAAAAAGAAAAAATATAAAACATTATAGATACAGTTGAAGCCCACTTAGTAGTCCTCTCCAGAAAACTGCCCCTCTCTCCATAAAACAACCATTATCTTTGATTTCTTTTTATCATTCTATTGTTTGTTTTGCATACATTTGCTATGTAGCTATGAATCATAAACATTTTTTCTTTTTTAAATTTTTAGGACAAAAATATAAATTCCTCCTTTCTCTTTTTTGATAAATAAAAATTGTTAATTTAAGATGTATAATATGATGATGTTACATATATATACACATTATGAAATGACTACCACAATCAAGCTAATGAACACTTCCATCATCTCACATTGTTACCCTTTGTGTGTGTGTGTGTGTGTGTGTGTGTGTGTGTGTGTGGTCACTTAAAATCTACTTAGTAAATTTCAAGTATATAATATAGTATTGTTAACTATAATCATAATCACAATGTTATATTGTTAGATCTTCAGAATTGTGTGTGTGTATGTGTTGGCAGAAGCAAGCACTCGACCAACTGAGCTATATCCCCAGCCCAGATCTTTAGAACCTATTGACCTTATCACTGAAAGTTTGTATCTTTTTTTAACATTTATTTTTTTTAGTTTTAGGTGGACACAATATCTTTATTTTATTTTTATGTGGTGCTAAGAATCGAACCCAGTGCCTCACACATGCTAGGCGAGAGCGCTACCACTTGAGCCACATCCCCAGCCCCTGAAAGTTTTTATCTTTTGGCCAATGTTTCCTTGATTTCTCCATTCCCAGTCTCTGTCAACCACAGTTCACAATTCTACCCTTGTTTTTGTTTGTTTGTTTTGTTTGTGGTATTAGGGATTGAACCAAGGATGTTCTACCACTGAGTTGCATCCCCAGCCCTTTTTAATTTTTTTAAAAATATTTGAGACAGGGTATTGTAAGTTTCCAAGGCTGACATCAAACTTGCTATCCTCCTGCTTCAGCCTCCCAGGTAGCTGTGATTATGGCATACACCACCACACCCGGCCTCTACTCTTGGTTTTTATGAGTTTGACTTTATATTCCTCATATAAGTGATATCATACAGTATTTGTCTATGTTCATCTGGCTTATGTTATTTAACATAATGTCCTCCAGTTTCATCTATATTGTTGTGAATGGCCAGATTTATCTATTCTTTATGAATTAATATTATTATGTGTACCTACCACATTTTCTTTATCCATTCGTTTGCCAATGGACACTCAGGTTTTCATATCTTGCCAATCATGGATAATGCTGTCATGAATGTGGGAGTACAGATATCTCTTGAACTTACTGATCTCATTTCCTTTGAATATATACCCCAAAGTGATATTGTTGTAAATTGGTCCAGAAATTATGGAAATTGGTATAGTCATTATGGAAAACAGTATGGAAACTCCTCAAAAAAATTAAAAATAGAAACACCATGTAATCTAGCAAGCATGTTTTTAAACTTTTTATAAACAGATTGTATTGCATTTGTTCTTTAATAATTTCTTCACTCAATTTGTATTTGTGAAATGAATTCATGTTTTGCAGTTCTAATACATTAATTTTCATCATTGGATGTCTGGAATTTCATTTTATGAGCAAAGCAGCATTTTTTTTTTTTTTTTTTTTGAGTGTAAGAGTAGGATTTATTCAAGAGTACACAGAAACAGAACTCCCGCAGGAGGAGAGGGAGCCCAACAGGGGTCGCCCTACTGTTAATAAATGATGAGGATATTTAATTATTTTTATATTTTTGCTATTACTGCTATGGGCACACTTGAACACATGCAATTTTCCTTAAGGATATTTTCGTTAAGGATAATATCCTTAAGGATATCAAGGAATTTCCTGGGTCTTAGATAACTTGTGTCTTCAACTTGATAAGATAGTGACTAACTGCTCTGGGAAGTGATTACCCCAATTTACACTCACAGCAATAGTATGAGAGTTCCTTGTCACACAGAAATCTATTATTTGTGCAATTAATATGCATTAATAATTGCAGTAATTTTTTAAAATATCCCTTCCTGATAAAGTTCCTGTTGCTTCCCATCTCCTGTGACAATATTGTCAGGCATGTGTGTGTGTGTGTGTGTGTGTGTGTGTGTGTGTGTGCACTTGCACGCTAGGAATCGAACCCGGGGCCTTGCACATGCTAAGCATGCATTCTACCACTGAGTTACAGTTCCAAACAGGTATTGTGTTTACTATCTGATAGGCAAAAGAAAATTCACCATGAAACAAATGAAGTTTAAGCTTAAGGACCCTTCATTCCCATCAACCTCTTTGAAAACCTTGTAGCTAATATTTTATTGGAAATTGTGTTTTCTTTTTCTTAAAATGAGATCCACAAATTGCACAAACTTCAAGCCCCACCAAATCTAGACGCAACCCTGCTGATGATGGGTGTGAAGTGTATCTCATTGTGGTTTCAATTTACTTTTTCCTGATCACTAGTGTAATTTTACTCCTTTTCATGTGTTGATTGGCACATCAAGTTTACTGTGAATTTAGCTTCTTTGTCTTACTGATTTGTAGGGGTTCTTTATATCTTCTGCATATTAATTCTGGACTTAATTGGGACAAATAACTCATCAAGTATGGAGTTTGTCTTCATTTTTGTCATAGTGTCCTTCATGTTTTATTTATAATGATGCTGTATTTATCCATCTTTTTATTTATGATGTGCACATTTTTGTAACTTGTATAAGAAATACTGTTATGACAAGGTTATAACAGTATTTTTTTCTCCTTCTAAAAGATACGATCTTTATATTTGGGCTTCTAGGGAATCTGAAAAAAAATTTTGAAGTATGGCATGAAATTAAGATCTAAATTTTATTTACTGTACATGGATAGCCAGTTGTCTCAGCACCATTTATTGAAAAGTCCCTCATTTCTCTACTGCCTTGTAGCCTCCATCATGTTTCAAGTTTCAATGTATGTTTCCAACACTTTTGTTCCATTGCAGAGTTGCCAGCACCCTGCCAGGGTAGACCGCTGCTCAGGAGGTGTGAGCTGCCTGAGAAATAGAAAACCTGAAATAATTAGTACAAAACAAGCCAGAGCCAGAAATTAGATTTTAAAAAGCGGAACGTCTAATAGATCTTACAGTCCTGATAGGAGTTGGAACTAAACAACTAAAAAATGGCTCCAATTCTTTATTTAAGGGGGAATACATGAAAGGCAGAGACAGGTTTCAGCAGGAGGAGTCTTGGTAGTCTTGGCTCTTCCTTCTCAGTGTTGCAGGGGTCTTGCAGAAAACAGGTTGTGGCTCCAGTGGGTCATCCCATCTCCGGTGATGTGCTGAACTTTTGATGGATCTAGGTAGGAAGCCACATGAACCAAACATCTTCAAACCAGCAGCATTGCTGCTGGTAGTTCCCAGTACCAGGCTTTCCTGACTAATGGCTTCCACATCACTTTAGTTCACACACAGTTCAAGGATGACTCTCAGCATTCCATTGGCCTAATTATTGTGTTCATAGCACAAACCTGACATTGTCACAGTCACGATAGCTTTACAGCTAGTCTTGATATCAGGCAGAATAAGTCTCACCATTTTTTCTTAATCAAGGTCATTTTGACTTTTCTTGGTCCTTTGTGCTTCCATACAAGTTTTAGGATGTTTGTTCACATCTATGGAAAAAAAACTTTAAGAGTTTTATTATAACAGCATTTGAGTAATAGACTACTTTGAAGAAGACTCTTTAAATATTGAGCTTTCACATCCATGAAGATGTATGGTTTTATAATTTTCTCAAGTTTTCCTTTTGTCCTTTAATGATTTTCTCATTAGCATTCTTATTTTTTTTAGAAATTTCTTTTGTAGTTGTAGATGGACAACATGCCTTTATTATATTTGTTTATTTTTATGCTGTGCTGTGTATGGAACCTAGTGCCTCACACATGTGAGGCAGGTGCTCTGCAACTAAGCCACAACCCCAGCTCTCATTAGCATTCTTATATGTCTTTAGATAAGATTTATTTATACTAATCTTTGTAGCTCTTGTTGCTATCATCAAAGATATCTTCCTGTTATATATTCTATCTGGTTATAGTGTATGTATGTGTGTGTGTGTGTGTGTGTATTTGTATTAGTATTTGTTTTTATTCAGCTTGTATCAATTAACCTTACAAATCTCTTATTTGTTCTAAATAAGTCATTTTTAATCTGATCAGTGGTTCTGAGACTCTTCTTTTATGTGCAATATTTTCTAGTTCTTTCAGCAACGAAACCTAAATACACAATTTGATCAATCACAGTGGTTCTGAATAGATGTGCTGTATGGTTCTTAAAATAATCAAAAGTAGTATTATATGGTAGCCAAAGAAATGATAAAGTTAAGCTGCCTGGTTCTAATTGGCTCTACCACTTAAAGCAAATCTTAACATACTCGTTTGTAAAAATTGAAATAAAAATACTGTGCTGCATATGGTTCTTGCAAGGACTCAATGGAATAAACACAATAAAATATGTTGTATAGTCTCTGGCCCATTGTAAGCATTGAATTAAGGTTAATTATTAAAAGCATGAGGTAAATGATACCATCATTAATTACATAGTAGATTTATAAACTAGAGATTAAAACATGGGTTAGATTAATTTAGAACAAACTCTTAGTGACCTGTCTAAATTATTTTGCAACTGTGTTATACCAAATACAATTTATTCATTAACTGTCAATCAACTAATATTGCTGTTCCATTGTTGGTTGTTCTGTGATTGATTGACTCGAGGTATTGGGATGCAGTGGTGAGTACAACAGTCAAGGTTCCTGCCAACATGGAGCTTTCACCCTAATAAAGGAGCCAAATTTTACATACACATATAATTGTGTGTATACACATTAAATTATGCTGCTGTGTTTAGAAAAACAAAGTCTAGGAAGCTATGAGAGAATACTAAAAAGGAGCATCTAGAGATTGAGAAGTCAAAGGGAAGTAACATCAAAGTCAGACAGAGGGAGGGAGAAGTGCATTTAAGCAGAGAAAATGGGGCCTGAAAGGAGCTGACAAATTCAGGGGACTAACAGAGACCAGTATGGCAGGAGAGGAGAAGGCAATGGTGAGCCAGGCCAGATGAAACTGGACAGGGGGACATCATATAAGACGTTGAAGTCCCTTTATCCTATATAAAATCACTAGTCCCATGAAGGAGGTGAGCATGAAAAGTTCGTTCCAGTTATTAGGTAGAAAAGAGAGTTCCAGTTATTAGGTAGAAAAGAGACTAGGAAGGCTAAGAAAAGAAGCGAGAGGGGCAACAAGAGGCTCTTGTAAGAGGCGGTAGTGGCTCAGGAGAGGGAATTAAGTGAAGATGAAGCGAAGTGATGGCTTTGGGGTATATTTAGGGGGTAGACTCAAGAGGACTTGGTAAGGGACTGGTTGGAATGGGGAGATGGTCAGTAAGGGGAGGGTCAGCAGAAGTTTCCAAGTTTCTGACTTGAGCAGAGGGGCATGTTCTTTACTACAGTGGGGAAAAGCAGAGATGGAGAGGATTTGGGAGGGAAGATCAAGGGGTCAGATTTGAATGTGTCAAGTTTGAGATGTCATAAAAGTATCCAAGTAGAGATGTTGAGCAAGGATATAAATATATGGATCTTGAGGATTCCAGTTACATCTGAAGGTCACTGGGAACCAGAGAACTCTTACTTAGGAGAAGAGGAATACAGACAAGAGAACAGTAGTCCAGGACAGAACCTTGGAGAATGCTGAAGAAGGAACTGGATAGAAAAGGAGTTGGCAATGAAGTGTGGTGAGAACATTTTTTAAAACATTTTAAAGATGGTGCAATGAGTCGGATGTTATTACCCTATATATGGGTATGACTGCATGAATGGGGTGACTCTACATCATTTACAACCAAGAAATGAAAAGATGTGCTCCATTTGTGTAAAAAATTAAATTAAATTTAAAAAAATAATAAAAACAACATTTTAAAAGGAGGAGGTTTTGAGGAAGAATAGTAGCAGGATCAGATGTTAAGAGGTTAAGTAGAAGAGGATTGAAAGTATTCACTGGCTTTAGCAACATAGGGTTTACTGCTCTTAGCAAAAGCAGTGGTAGGAGCAGAAATTAGAGTGCAAACAGAGCACTGTTGCCTGGAGTTGAAAGAGCGTTCCTAGCAAGGACCTTTATCGTACCAAGAGTCAACTTGTACGCTCCCCTTTTGCAGTTCCTAAGCATTTCATGGAGTCATCCAGCCAAGAAACGACACCTCTGCACTTCCATCTAAACTGGTTGATAAAATGTCAGGGAGATAACGCTGGCGAAGGTTTTTTTTTTTTTTTTTTTTTAAATCTCTGTGTGCAAATCTCTGCAAACCAATGGAACAACACACACACACACACACACACACACACACACAAGTGCAATAGGTGGTTTAATCTCACAAGGAACTTAAGGAAGCTGTTGTCATCATCACTTCTGCTGATCAGAGTCTCAAAGGTCAAGACCACATTGGAGTCCTTCCATTGTTGTAAAAGTTAATGAAAGTTAATTATTAAAACTGACAGAAAGGTAATTAGCTCACTGCCTTACATAACCTATATATAGACATCCATGACATATGGATGCATGCAGAGCCTATAGACCTAAGTAACTGGACACTGTTTCTTCGAACTGGGCTGCTTTATCTCAAAAATTGTCCACAGTTGCTGAAGCTCCTCACTGAGTGCATTTCAGGTAGGAAAAAATCTTATACTTGTTTTACTCAATCTGGATTTCTATTTCTTGAAAATGGCATTGTCTTTCTGATAAAGGCCTATGTAGAAATTACTGTTGTATTCTTGAGTTTATTTCACAAGCATGAATATTTTGAATGATTCCACTAATAGGCAAAAAATGTATGTCGGCAGCACTGGCAATGTGAAATAAATATTTGAGTGGTCTTTAAGTTACCAAGTTAATGTTAAGGTTCAATGTTCCTTTTCAAAGATAATGGTGAGTTTTACCTTAATTATTCAGCTAATTCCTTTATTCCCCACCCAAATCTGACTGTATAGTTAGATCATCTGCTCTGAAGGCTAGCAAACAGAGCAAGCCTTTAGGAAAAGTTTTCTCCAGGAGGTAGAATCATCCTTTAGAGGGGATATAGAAAGGCCATCTGGCCCTGATATCAGGGATTTATCTGCCAGACACCCAGAAAGTCCAAGACCAAAGGAAAGGGGGAAAGGAGAAAAGGCAATAGAAGGACCAAGAGTCAATAGGGAACAGAAATAGGGGAAAAAAAATTATCACTGGACAGCTGCAGAGAGCCCTATGCCACAAGACGTATAAGATCATGCAGGGGTACATAGCCTGTAGATTACCAACCCTACATAAATATATAGAATCTAGTTCATTCTTTATAATAACAGGAACAAAATTTTACAATAGTCTTTGTATGTACAAGTAGGAAACAATTTATTATGCCATTGAATTAAATTGTTCTTTTTTCCAAAGTAAATTTATCATTTGAGCAAACAGTATAGTGAAAGCTGGCCACATAAACATCATTTCTACTGAGAAATTAGGATGCCTCTATTTGATTTCAGAAATAGGTAATTTATAATGAGTGAATACATTTCTTACCTCCTCCCTCTGGATAAATAGATTAGTAATACAAAAATAAATGAACAAATGTAGACAAGAAAATACAACCTCAGTTTCATAGTGTTGAGGAGCATAGGGGAGAATAAACCAGACCAAGTTATGAAGATGGCGCCCCAGGCTGCCCAGGCTCACAGTGTGTGTGATGTTGACAGTAAAGGTGGGTAGTTCTACTCCCAAGGGCTAGGGTTCTAAGGGTGTCTCTCCTGGAGCTCTGAGCATGTGCCTTGCTTCTCATGAAGATAGGGGCTAACAGGTCCCACATTAACACTGCAGAGAAAAACATGCAGTGGAGTGTCAGTGATTCACAAAACCTAGTTTCTTTCTGGCTCTGTTACTTGCTAGCTAGAGATGTGGCTTTGTGTGTTTTTTTGCGCAGTGTAGTGCAGGGGCTCAAACCCAGGGCCTCACACATGCTAGGCAAGCACTCTACCACTGAGTTACACCCAAGTCATTTATCTTCTCTCATCTCAATGTCTTCATTTGTAAATTGGCGATAATAATATCTCTACTTTTTCTGCATAGTTCACAGGGAACCACTGGAAGAAGAAAAGTGAAAGTGCTCAGAAAACCACAAAGCCTTCTAGAAGTGGCTAGGAATTCTCTGTATCTTGTGTGCTCCTATTGGGCCTAAAACTTCTTGCTATGGTGCATTTATCTAATGGTTTAGTCTTTGGGCCAACAAAGCTTTCTGTTTCCGTATTTGGGTTTCTTACTGTCATCTGGGTGTGATTTGTTCATTCCCTACAACCTTCTCATCATCCTTTCCAAACTTACCTGTTCTGTGAAGTCTAATTCAAGACCCACACTTCCTTCATGAACTTCATGAAACAGTTCCTTCATGAAACTTTTCTCAACTCCAGCTTACATCCTTTCTTTTTTCAACTTATTATCTGGACCAATCATTTTGGACACTTCTCCTGTGTGTGCAAACTTCAGATTTCAGGGTGATATCATGTATATCTCTTTTGTTCACAGTTTAGTTTATTCCAACAAACCTTCTTGCATACTTACTATGTTATAAGACCTATGTAAAAGAGAAAAAATAGAATTTGGACCTTAACTTTTGGGGAACTTAATCTTATAGAGGAGAGAAACATAAGCAAATAATGACAATACAGTATGATATGGAATAGAAATATGTTCAAGGAGTTTTCAAGAAGGAAATGATTAACTCTTTCTGAGGGGTACCATGAAGCTTTACAGCATTTTCTTATCTTGTACAACCAAGTTCCTGACAAACAATAGGCCGATCGATGCCTGTTGAAGCAATGAAGAAAGGAATCAATGGTCAGGGACAGCTGAGTATTTTTAAAGATGAATTGGAATTCAGCAGATGGGGAGAAGAAACCAGATAAAGGAAACCATATGGGCAAAGACCTGGAGATGTTAAATCATCATGGCATGCTAGGAACCTATTATAATCATGAACAAGCACACAAGACCTTGAGACACAGACCAGAGACAAAATATAAGGAGCCTTGCATGCCAGGCTAAACAGGTGAGAGAGGTAGATTCTTTTAAAATTATGTTCTAGGGGGGTTGGTGTTGTGGCTCAGTGGTAGAGTGCTCGCCTAGCTCGCCCTGGGTTCGATCCTCAGCACCACATATAAATAAATAAATAAAATAAAGGTATTGTGTCAACTACAACTAAAAAATATTTATTAAAAAATTATGTTCAAATAAACTGGGGTGAGAATGGAAAACTGTTGTTTCTGGAGATAAGCTCAGAGTAAACATGAAGATCTAGAAAAGATGGCAACACGAACATTTTCCAACAGGCTATGGTTGATTTTGTAAATTGGGCCTACATAGTCAATCCTAAAGCTTTTATATATAAAATCAAGGCCAAGGTGTCTCTCTTTGCATACCTCAGTTTACCTTGACCACAGCCCTCAGGGAAGGCCTCCTCCTTTTACCATTAGACAAACTGAAGCTGGAACAACTTGCTCATAACAAACACAGGTAAACAATGGCAAAGTGGGGATTTAAAACTAGGCCTACTTAGCCGCCAAATTCTCACTCTTTTCTGCTTCAGACCTACCTAAATTAGATTTGGCTTTGTTTTCCAGCATTATGGGCAGTGTAGTAAGAGAATTAATGAAAAATAATGTTAGTGACTAAAATTAAGCTCAAACTGAGCTAAATTCCTAGAACTAAATATTAACTCAAACATGTAAGCATACATCCTAAATTAATAATACAACACACATGTCATTGCCCACCATGGACACTGAAATAGAGATACATGAATTATCTACAAAAATTTGGCCAAAGGAAAAAATAATCAAGAACATTTTCTTTAGCAGTCTTGCTTAGACATCTAGAGAACCACTTCCACTCCCTTAGGATCCTCACTTAGGATCCTCACCCAAGTCTCATCACCTTTAAACACCTGTGTCATCTTATTATCCCCTTTCCCACTCTGGTTTCAAAATCAGTCTTGTGTTTGTGAGATGCCAATAGCGATTATCACTAAATAGCAGAGAAAAACTCAAGTGGTTTTCATGTTCTAAATGATGACACACTTATTTCTCTCAAAGAAACAGCTCAGGTGTACATTCATAAGATACCTTCATTAATTATCCTATTGTGCTTCAAAACAGACATACAGGAGAATCATAGCATTTAACAGGAACTCGCCCCCTTCTGACCTCTCTTTACCGTTGAGTTACTCCTCGTCACCACTTGGGCCCTATCCCATGCTGAAGCCATCATCTCCCTGCCTCTACTCAGCTGATGTGGACCTTTCTGTGCCCTTGATTCTGGCTCCATTTTGCTGACTGTGGGGTGCCTGTGGTGGTGATCACCGCAACAGTTGTTCTACTTGTTCTCCCATCTCTCCCCACTCTCCCAAGGACAGTTATTAGAACACTGCTGTATTCCCTTTCTCCAAGGACCAATTCACAAAATAAGGCTGGTTTACCTATCGTTTTCCACTGATTGGCACAGGTGTATTTGAGATCCATGAAAGAAGCAGCATTTTCAGCACATGTTAGCCATAGTACGGCATTTGCAGTGATGCCTTCAGCAGACCCTCCTTAATGTGGATGGCTCTGGAGGGGTGATGTCAGAAGAGCTACCTGGTGCCCTGTGACTGGGGAGGGGCTGGGAAATGCTCTGCACACCTGCTTGCATCCTGATTTCAAATTATCACTAAGTAAAAACAAATCCTAGCATTGCTCATGAGCATTTGGGTTCAAATTAGTTGTCTCCCAGCAGAAAGGACAGACCTCTGAAAGTCTAGAAACCTAGATCAATGCTGAACTGTGGAAAGTTCAAAGCTGCAGACACCTCTCAGGAGTGGGCATTCAGAGTGGAGGCTCCCAGGTAATCAGAGGCCAGGAAGATACAAGTGCTTAGGCTGGAAAAGAGTGGAACCTGAAGTGGTGGGGAAAGGGTGTGTATATGACAATCCTTACAAGTATCAAAAAAGTTATTTAAAAACTGGAATAGTTGGGTCTGGGATTGAGGCTCCGTGGTGGAGTGCTTGCCTTGCACATGTGAGGTACTGGGTTCAATCCTCAGCACCACATAAAATAAATAAAGGTATTGCATTTATCTACAACTAAAAATGTATTTAAAAAACTGGAATAGTTAAATTGAGAAACTAAATTTCAGAAATTAACTCTAGGACTAAAAATCTACTTAAAAAAAGAGAATGACAAATACATATAACTAAGACATGCACCAAGGTATACAGAAATATATGTGCATACATGTGTGTGTCTATGTAAATAGTGTATACATCTAAAGGCCAAAAAATGTAAAAGAGCACATCAGAGGAAAGTGAATAAAAATTCGAATATTCACCAAAAAAGTGTCAGAATTCCAAAATTATTGGGAGGAAGGGTCCCTGAGAATGAATTTCAATTTCCCAGGAGCCAATGACACCCTAAGGAACCCAGAGAGAAATTGAACCACAAAGATAAAACAACATGAGAAGACATATGTTAATAGGGGAGTGATATTTGCAGGTGAAAATGTGTTCCAAAAAAAAAAAAATTCCCAAGAATTTCTAGGGGAAAGGTAACTTGTTCAGGTGAAAACAAAGTAAATAAGATCACTTTTGAATCCTTAACTAAAGTAGGTCATTCTTAACAAGCTCAGAAATGATGAATGACATTCACTTATGACTATCTGGAGCCTGCTTCAGCAGTGGCTTCATCTGGGTGTTGGCTCAAGGCTCATGTTGTTTGTTACATGTGGAATACAAAGTAGCAGATTTGGGAGCAGGAGGCAGACTGGAATGTGGTTCTCAAGGTCTCCAAGTTCTGGAAAGATTTCTTGAGCTGCCCTGATTCATTGCTCTCAAGCCCTCCCCTTGCAGGCAGTGCTGGGTGTGAAAAGGAGACTCTTTCCAGTATGGAGGCTAGAGTTCAGGCTTTTGATCATCTGGGGGTTTGAGGGAGCACATTACAGACCCAGTGTCAGTCATCCCAGGGAAGGAGCTACACACAAATGAAGGTCTTTCTACCATTATTGTCACTAGGTGTTTTTTTTTTAAAAAATTAGACCATGGCTTAGCAGAGAGAGCACATACAACAGTCAAAGGAAGAAAAGAAGTACCCTCTGGATCTTTCTTAGGGAAGAGAACCAATGAGTTTCTGTGAATTCCTCAATGGAAACATGAATGAAGCAACAAAAAGGCAGATTTTTTTTTTCTTTTCCTTTCTTTCTGTCCAGAGCTGCTGAGAGCCATAGTAGAAATGACGCATGGCATTTTTGGTTGAAAGATGACCCCAGCAAGCCATTGAGATGATAATAGTCATGTTAAGTTGTGTATTCAATTGGATATTAGCCCCCTGCTGTCCGCCTCTGCCTGCTACTTTGGAGCTCTCCTGGGGACTCCCAGAGAGTTCCCATTGGTTGGGGAAGTGCGGTAGGAGGGATTTCCGGAGGAGGGATTCCCAGTTGGTGTGATGTGTCCCAGGAGAAGGCCGAGTGTGTGGCGTTCGCGGGAGTTTTGGAAATAAAGTTTGTTCCTGCTTGAGTGGCTCTTTGTGCTCAGCCAGACTTTGGCACAGAGCAGCATCTGAGAAAAGTAAAAGCACATAGTGCTTCAGTCTTTGTCCTACAGCTAGCTGGCCAGGCTGGATCTCTCACAGGAGGAAAGCTGTTCTTGGAAGACACTCTAGACAGTCTTTGCAAAAGACCCAAGATGTCAACAGTCATTGACCATAGATTAGATATTAAATGTTAATGCCCCAACCAAATTGTTGGTAATTGGCAAAAAAATAAAGACAAAAATTTATGTTATGAATGGCAATGACCAAGCCAGCTCCACTTTATGAGCAAGTTCTTTTTTTTTTTTTTTTTAAACCAAGGCTCTTAACCACTGAGCCACATTCCAAGTCCTTTTGGGTATTTTATTTAGAGCAAGGATCTCACTGAGTTGCTTAGGACCTAGCTAAGTTGCTGAGGCTGGCTTTGAACTCACATTCCTTCTGCCTCAGACTCTCTAGCCACTGGGATTACATGCATGCGCCACCCCACCCAGTACGAGTATAGTTAGGGTATGCCACCTGGATGTGAGGATGGAAAGATGGAGGTGTGAATGGAGATGAGAGACAGAAGACAAGCTGCTTGACTGAGGAAAAGGCTCAGAAAGAATAGCAAGAGGATCTAAAAGTCAAAATAAAATTCAAAGGGTCTCAATACTGGGGGCCATGCTAGAGGGTGAGGCAGAAGCACTTCACTGTGGTCAGAGAAGACAAATACAGAGAAAGATAAGGGCACTGAAGAAATTGGAGTGGGCGGGTTGGGGGTATTGAGGAATGGATGGTCTAAGAGAAGTCAAGTGAGGCCAAGAGTTAAGGCCATCATCAGATTCCTGGTTGTAACATGAGCTCTGCAAACATGCTGAAAATGCCCTTCTGTATGAGAAAGCATCATGTAGCAACATACAGTCTAGTGTGACATAATTCATCTAATCACTGTGATTTCAGTCAGGGAACAGAACCCTGGGCATTATGGGTAATAATGCAAAATCAAGTGGGGGAGATGGAATGCTAACAGAATGTTCTTTAAATTGTTTTTATAGGACAATAGAGAAACTGCATGTTGTAAAAGAAACAGCAAAGTTTGAAAATGGAAGTCCCGTTTTGACACTACTCATGGTCTGACTCAATAAAAAGTACTTAGATTTTTGTCAAGGGGTGGATGTGTATGCAATCATGTTATTATTTGTAAGAGGAGAAGAATTGTAAGGCCTTAGAGATTTGTGAGGGATAAATTGACAATGTACATAAAAAGTCTTTGTAAAATTGATCTTTTAAGTGTAATGGAAATAGAATTAAGATAAGAATTAAAAATTCAGATCAGACATATAATTGTTAAAATAATAACTACCAGTTGATGAATGCTTATAGCATGCCAGGCACAATGGCAGATGTTTTGAAAACATTCTCATTTAATTTTCACAATCACCTTGAAACTTGGGTATCATCATCATCACTGTTACATAGATGAAGCTCAGAGAGGTTAAGTAACTTGAAAGACCCTGGGGTCTTTCCTTAGGAAAGTTCTTATCACTTGTAACTAAGTAACCAAGTCTAATTTTAGTTTGTGCCATAGTTTCCTCAACTATAAATTATAAAACTTTACCAGACTCCCAGAAACCATAGGAAAGTAAACAGATTATATCTTTTAATTTCACAAATTAAAAGCACTTTAAATGGTATCATAAAAATCCTGATGACTAAATTGGAATATTGTTTGAACCTAGGGACAATGAAAAGACTTCAATCTCTCCAAGTTCTCCAATGCCTCACTTTGGAAACATTTCTAGGGAAAAAAAAAGTCCACAAGATGATCTCACTTTATACATAGAAAACAGATTCACTGGTTTGTACACTGAGTCAATTTTTATTGCTTCTTAAAAAATTAAATACAAGCTCTTTGTTTACTTACCCAAAGGAGCAGTGTCCAGCTCATTGGAGGAAAAAGTGATATCACTGTCACAAAATACAATCTAGGTCCCTTAATCCTGCCTCTTTTGATCTCAAAAGGTGGTAACATTCAGTTCAGAGCTCACTCATCTGTAAATTGCATCACATTATCTCTGAGTTATTTAAGAAGCAAGTTCTGTTTGGTTTCAGGCATTTTAACCTGCTAACGGCAAGAAGAAGGGTTCACCACATAGTTCCAAAGGTCTTCCACTTGCCACCACTGCCAAAAGAAGCAAAATGATTGAACCCATAGGAAATCAGTATGTTGTGGCCAGGCCAGTGTACTCTGCAAACACTTTTGGAGAAGAACATAAGAAGAAACACAGACATCATAAGACATTTCTGGATCATCTCAAATTGTGTTGTAGGTAAGATATTTTTAAGGTATTGACATTAGGAATAAACAGAGACTTTCTCCTAAATTTTCTAGCTTTCAAGCTCTCCTTTCTGGCTCTAGTCCATAACCAAGGAGTCTTTTTGTCTGAAGTTTCCAAATCTCCTACTCCCTGCCAGAGTTGGGAAAGTTATGTCTAAAATGAATACTGTCTCAGCTAGCGACACAGTCTTTCCAAATCAGATAACTAATAGATGGGGACGAGGAAAATTCTCAATTGAAATATAGCACAGTTCAAGCTAAGGATGACAAACAAATTCTACTACAGCTAAAGAAAATTTGATCTTTTTATTTTTTAAATATATTTAATATACTTAAGTTTTAGATAGACACGATACCTTTATTTTATTGATTTTTATGTGGTGCTGAGGATCAAACCCAGTACCTCACACATGTGAGACAAACACTCTACCACTGAGCCACAACCCTAGCCTAGTATTTGTCTTAAAAAGAAAAAAATTCTATGATGGTGACCAGGGATCTGTTAACCTGGGTATAGTAGGAGTTATATGACTAGTTTGATCTTTAATATATTATCATCTTTACCAATTTTCCTCCCACAGTTAGGAACTGAACTTAAAATTTGATATTAATTAACTGACCTGTGGTTTTCAATGTTTCAGCTGTTCCACACAAAAGGCCAAGAGAATTGCCCTCTCTTTCTTCCCCATAGCATCTTGGTTACCATCATACCGAATAAAGGAATGGCTACTCAGTGACATCGTTTCTGGTATCAGCACAGGGCTGGTGGCTGTACTTCAAGGTACCCTCCTCTCCTTTTTAGATATAATGCATATGCCATAAAATTAGATATAATGCATATGCCATAAAATTAGATACAATGCATATGCCATAAAATTAGATATAATGCATATGCCCTTTTTTTGTGGGGTGTGTGGGTGTGGTATGGTGTTGGAGATGCAACTCAGGATCTTGTCCATGCTAGACACTCTTTTTACCACTGAGTCATACCTGAAGCCACCCTTTTAATGTGTATGATTCAATGGATTTAAGTATATTCAACAGGCTGCATATTTAACACCACTAATTCCATAACATTTTCACCCTCCAAAAAACATCCCTTGCTCATTAACAGACACTTCACATTCCACACACCCCAACTTATCCCCTTGACAATGATTCTCTGTCTCTGTGAATTTCCCTATTCTGGATATTTCATAAAAATGGATCCATAAAATATGTGGCATTTTGTGTCTGATTTCTTCACTTGGTATCATGTTTTCCAGGCTCATCCATATTGCAGCATAGACAAATAATGTTTTACATGATTATTCCATCTTGTTTATCCATTCACCAGTTCATGGACATTTGAATTGTTTGAACTTTGAGCCTATTATGAATAATGCTAATATGAACATTTGTGTACAACTTTTTGTGTAAACATGTATCAATTGCCTCAGTATATACCTAAGTATAATTGTTGGATCATATGGTAACTCCATTTTTGATCACTTGTTGAACTGCCAAATTATTGTCTAAAGTGGCTGCTCTCTTTTACATTCCCACTAACAGTGTATGAGAATTTAGATTTCTCCACATCCTTAACTTTCGTCTTTATTACTGTAGCTATCCTAGAAGGTGAAGTGGTATCTCGTTGTGGTTTTAATTCGTATTTTTCCAATGACTCATGTTAAGCATCTTTTCTTGTACATATTGGCCATTTGTACATCTTTGGAAAAAAGGGCTATTCAAATCCCTTGCCCTTTAAAAAAAGGTTGTCTTTTTATTGTCAAGTTGCAAAGGGTATTTATATTTTGTACATATAGTTGCAAAGAACTCCTTATCCAACATATATTTGCAAATAACTTTTCTCATTCTGTGGATTATCATTTCAGTTTATTTTTTTCCAGTGGAGCTGGGGATCAAATCTGGGGCCTTGCATATGTGAGGCAAGTCCTCCACCACTGAGCTACATCTCTAGCCCTTAGTTTCTTAAAAATATCCTTTGAGTACACATTTTACAAATTTTAATCAAGTCAGTTTATTTATTTTTTTCTCCAATTGCTTATACTGTAAGGGGTCATTTCTTAGAAATCATAACCTTAACCCAAGGTCACAAAAATGTATACTTGTTTTCTTCTAAGAGATTTATGGTTTTCATTCTCACATTTGTATCTTTGATACATTTTTAATTAATAAGGTAACTTATTTTGTTTCCTTAAGATAACTTATTTTAAAGTTCCAACCTTAAATATCAGAAAAGCCCTAGTGAGAATTTGTGAGATTCCCTTGCACAAAATAAGGATCCTTCTGTTTGTGTGTTTACAGGCTTAGCATTTGCTCTGCTGGTCACCATCCCCCCAAGATATGGATTGTATGCAGCCTTTTTCCCAGTCATAGTCTACTTCTTTTTGGGTACTTCTAAACACATATCTGTAGGTAAGTCAGTTACGGTGCTAAGGTGCTAATGAATGCTTTATTGCTTTTTCTTTATGAGTTCTATTAGCCATCATTTCCCGTAAGATCTAGGACTGGGATTTGGGAAAAGGGCATTCTTTGTATATGCTGTATTGTAGTATGTGCTCCAGGGAGGCACAGGCTGACCACAGTTTGCCTTCTATTAATTAGGACCATTTCCAGTTCTAAGTATGATGGTGGGAGCAGTGGTTACAAATGTAGTCTCAGATGCCAGTACCACGATGGAATCATCCAATAGCACAGAGAATAATGAATCGATATTGGAGCAGAAGAAACTACTGGTGGCTACAACTGTCACAGTCCTTTCTGGAATCATCCAGGTGAGCACTTTCTCATAATCTGCTTGTTTTGACTAGTGTGCATTTTTCTGGGAATTTTTCCCCTCCTCCCACACACTCTTCATCTTCCCTTTGGTTTGTGTCCCTTGTTCAGAGGCCCAGAAGAAATGATTTAAAAAGTATCACTCTCCACAGCCAAAGGGTTGGGAAGGGGAGACAGATCCACATTGCAAAAACAAGTGAATGTGCATCTAGATAGAAGGGGAAAAAAAAGGAGGGGAACAGGGTGGTGCAACTGGTAAGGAATTCAATGCTCAAGTCAATAAAATCACTTGGTACAGTCATAAAACATAACAAGTAATAGGGACACTAGTAACTTCAGGATTTTTTTCTTCCTAATCCTTCAGTGACTCCAAGCTAATTGCAAGGGTTAGGGGATTTGCACTTTGAGCTGTTCATATCAAAGATTTGAGGGACAGTAGAGAAGATCATGGTGGAACCTAAAGACTCACTCTCAAACCACAACACAGACACCATTTTGAACAGAGAAAATGCCATGGAAACTTCAGGATGTTGCTCAAGTTTACTGTTAGTGAATTTCTTGAAGAAAGAATAAATCAATCTCAGACAGTACACAGTGTGTGTCCTACTTACTGTCAAACCATGCAGTCAGTTGTTTGTAATACATTTCTGAACCTAAGAACAGAAATAAAACCCAACTGGACTTTGTGTACCCAGAACTTTGTCTTCATTCTGAAGACATGAGAGGAAAGAAAAACCAGATAAAGGCCAAGAAAGTTCATTCCATTCACTTTACTGCAAAGCCCTGATGCTTTGAGAGGAATTAACTACCCTTGTTCCCCAGCTAGAACCAAGCACTTTTGATGTCCAATATGCAATTACGTGTTTCTTAAACAGTCAAACAATGTATTTGAGGGGATGTGAATGGAGACACTCACCCATGCATGCTGTAGCAGCTAGAAAGTGTTGATTTCAAATTACATCAGCAAATTTATGAGGGCTGATGATAGATAAGATTCTGCTATAAATGGTTTATGGTGAGTCTTCTAAAGACACCGCACCTATAAATAAGAGGGGTGGGATAAATCTTGGGGGCATATTGGACTTATGTCCTCTTTTCTTTGAACACCATGTAACTTTCAACCTGGGGGGTGGGATGGGAGGGAATTACAGGGAGGAGTCCTGAATGGGAGTTTTCCGGGAGGAGAGACAGCAGCCTCTTCAAGGCCTGTGCATGCAGGGTGAACCTCTATGCTGGAATCCTTTCCATGGCTGATCCTTTAGTTTGCCGAGGTGTACTCCTAATCCACATTAACACACGCTTTTGTCCTTCTCTTGCCAGCTGGTCCTGGGGGTTCTGCGGATCGGATTTGTAGTGATCTACCTATCTGAGTCCCTGATCAGTGCCTTCACCACTGCTGCCGCCGTTCATGTGTTGGTTTCCCAGCTCAAATTCATGTTGCAGCTATCAGTTCCAGCACACACGGACCCATTCTCGATTTTCAAAGTAAGTGTTCCCCTCACTTAAAAAGAACTATTGAAATACATAAAATTCACCACGTGTTTCCTAGAGAACCTTCCTTTAGTGCCTTTGCTGTAGGGCAAACCTACAACTTCCAAAAATCAATGGGTTGTGAAATTGATTCACATGATAAAAAAGGTTGGTAGAAAAGAGAAGAACACTGAAAATCAACCACATCTAACATATAGTTAATGTTAACAACAGAGGAAAAAAAAAATAACCACAATCTAAGCGTATTATTAAAAGGTTTGCTATTTTTTCCTGAGTGTTAAATTTTTTCTCAAAGTCTAATTTTCAAAGAAATTTGCTTATTAATTTATTATATTTCTCTATTTCTCATAAATCAAATCTTTTGAAATTGAAGTTGTTGAGTCCTTTATGCATATCTGTTCATATAGCAAAAGGAAATTGTTCCACAGGTAGATACGGCAGTGGTTCTCCCCTCCTCCAAAGAAAGCAAAGTAGAAGTATTAAAAGATGAAATTACAATAAATCTAGTTTTGCAGATATTAATTGGATTTATTTGTAATTATAGAATCAAGCAGTAGTTTGGACCAAAATGGTTCAGAAAGCTTCACTCCACCACACAGTCTGGTTACATTTATAGTCGGAGGAAAGGAAGTGACACAGAGAAGATGGAAGTAAGGTACAGAGACAGTCCGACTGGTTACAGCTCATGTCTGTCTTTTTTTGAAGATTGGTTTGAACTGTCAACTTCTTGTGACTAGCTGAGTGAGACTCAGCTACTTGTTACAAGAGTAGTTTAATCTATGTACACATGAAGTTATGTTATTACATAAAAAGAAATTTATTTAGGTCAAATTAAAACAGAGGTAGTTTTAGACCAAACCTTATTCCCCCACTTTGGTTCAACTTTTTAATTCTGATTAACCCAGTTTTGTGGATAGTGATGTCACTCTCTATCATCATCATAAATGGACTTAGTCTCAAATTCCATTGGGAAATAGTGGAACAGTGGGGTTGGTAAAGTGGGAAGAACAATACAAAAAAAATTGATTGGTTAAAGGCTGATTTCTTCTGGTTTAGCTTCTCCTCTTTCCCCCAGGAGTTAAAGCAAAGGGGACCATCTTTTTAGGCTAAGTCAGACTGGAATCACCTGCGTCTAGCAGGGGGAAACTGTTATGTTTTAAGATCTATCTGCTTTCTTAAAGTTTCATCTTGGTTATGTGGCATTCTGCAGGAGTGACTTCATTTTGGTTTGATCTGGTCCGGGGGAGGTCTATTGCAGGAGCTCAGTTTAAAACAATGACCTTCCATCATTTCATTTACCAATAGTGTTCTTAGTACTTCTATCAAAACAATCTTGGAAACAGATCTTGCTCCTTATTGGAGCAAACAGTCTCTCATTCCTGTCCAGAGCAACTCCTGTCTTGGCCCCATAGATATGCAACCCTCTGACTTCAGGAAGTGAGGGCATGCATTTAGGGAACTATTTTCCAAAAAGTGACCTGGAAAATAAGCCAACAAATTTGAGGGAGTTGAACCTTTAAAAGACCAAGATTTAAGGGAATACAGGTCAGGCTTTAAAAAAAAAAAAATTATCAGGGGCTAGGGATGTGGCTCAAGCGGTAGCGCACTCATCTGGCATGCGTGCGGCCCGGGTTCGATCCTCAGCGCCACATACAAATGAAGATGTTGTGTCCGCCGAGAACTAAAAAGTAAATATTAAAAAATTCTCTCTCTCTTTAAAAAAGGTTCTCTCTTTTAAAAAAAGAAAAAACTATCAGGGATTAGAAGTTATTCCTTGGATATAACAGCAGTGATGGTTTTGAAATAAAGAACAACAGCTAAAGAGAACTAAATGCAGAAAAGATCTGTTGTAAACTGTGAAAAGTATCCAACAAAATTTGACACTAGCCAAAGAGCTTCTCAGAAAAAGAAAAAAAATGACAGATGTCCCCCTACACCAGGGTATCACCTCCACTAGGCTAATTTACCCTTCTCATACACATCTCCATGCTGGTCTTTACGATTTTGTAGTTTACATTTGACAGGAGCAGAACTGAGACTCACTATCCCTCTTCTGCCAGTCCTCCTGCTTCAATGTATATTTTTATCTATTTGGAGGTAAGTATTGTATCCAAATTATGCACTAATATAGGAGCTTGGTGTCTTTTTTTTGTAACTGTAGGTACTAGAGTCTGTATTCACCCAAATAGAGAAGACTAACATTGCTGACCTCGTGACATCCCTGATTATCCTGTTTATTGTATTTGTGTTTAAAGAGATAAATCAGCGCTACAAGTCCAAACTTCCAGTGCCTATCCCCATCGAACTTATCGTGGTAATTGATCATCTTAAAAATTTCTTTCATATTCTAGTGTCATCATGTCAGAAAGTTTTCATCATCTGCAGATTTTGAGGTTTTAGTGGGGCAGATGCTATTTCTGCAGTTTCTGGGTGTACTGTGTAGTAGGATTTTTCTGTTCATTCTGAATTGAATAACTTCCTGTTATGATTTTGGGCTTATTCTTTCCTTGTAAGACAAAGACGGTGCAGAGAGCAAGACCTCTAAGACCAGACAACAGACCCATTTGAATTAGAGCTGTGGTTATTTGCTTAACTGGCAGTCAGGATTGCCTCAGGACCTCTTTTAAAAAGCAAAGCCCAGGCTAGAGAGGCTTATTAAAAAGTCCAGGGTGGGTTTTGGCAGTGTTCCCCCACCCCAGGTTCAGACTCTTGGTTGCATCAAACATTTCTAACTTGGGCAATTTGCAACTTTGCAGACGGTGATCGCAACAGGTGTATCCTATGGCTTTGACTTCGAGCACAGGTTTAACGTGTCTGTGGTTGGGCAGATGGATACTGGGTAAGTGTGTTTTCTATGCTGGTGTCTCCGTGCATCAGCAGAGTGTGAGTAGACAGCAGTCACAGGAGAGTGCAACCCTGGTGAGAAGACCCAGCACTGCACATGAAGAATGAAAGCTGGCTGCTGTCCTTCAAGGAAGTAGCTACAAAAGGAGTCAGGGTCCACTGTTAATATCAGGAAGTTTCTCCTGGTTAGAAGAACTCACAGCCAGGCCAGCAAGGACGCACATGAAAGTAAATGTTAGGAAAGTAGTGAGAGTTAAAAAGTAGGCAAAATAAACTACTTCTTCTAAAGAATCATCAACTAAAATCAGATTTCCTTGTCTGTAAATTACTATAAACAATACATAGTGCTTTGTTTGAGGTTACTGGAGCCAAGTTCCGAAAGTTCAAAAGAAACACTGAAGGAATACCTGTACACCGATTGAGCAATCGATAGGCACACTGGCACACTCTGTCCTTTCTCATGGTCAAGTTCAAAACAAAGCCAGAGCAGCTTTCCCAGCTAGTACAAGGAATTTGAAAATATATTTTATTACATTTAGTGGATTGGGAGGGGAGATCTCTTTTTGTGTTGTCCTTCCTCTGCCCTTTAGGTAGCACCAGTTTCTTTCTCCAAGGAAAGATCATCATCTGTCAAAACAAATTAAAGACCACTCCTCTCCCCATGCTTTACAAGGTTTTGAGAATGCCAGAAGTCATCAGTTTTATGTATATCCTTGTCTTAGAATAGCCAAATTCCTTTAAGAACAGATACTGGTATATTTTTAAGCAAAAATATATTTTTATCACCAGCTCTTCAGGTGTTCCACTTAATGAATCTCAAACATCACTTCTATGAAGTTGTGAAGTGGAAAGTAGGCTGAGACTAAAAGACTATTTCTAGGTTTTCCCTCCACCCTGTAACTTTCAGGCGATTGCACTGTGTGCTGGAAGACGCCAAATCAAAAATAAATAAACAAAAGCAAAATCAAAGAGAGTCTGGTCAGAAGCAGACGTTTTGAAAATAAATGATAAACTTCAAGATCACTGAGTGACAAAATATAATTTCAAGGTCAATGGACCTCTCTCTACAAGGAATGTGGGGTGGGGGAAGAACCTAGCTCACATTTATTAACCATTACACTCTACAGAGAGGCAGTGTGACCCATTAGGTAAATTCACATGTTCTAGAGGCAGAGAACAAATAACTAAACTCTGTGCCTCAATGCCCTGGGCTATAAAATAAGGCTGAAAAGAATAGCTGTCATACAGGATTTTCAGAAGGATTGAACTAGTTACTACATGTGCCATGGTTAAGTGCCCGACCTACAATTAGTGTTGAAACTGCATTATGACTATTACTCATTTAGCATCTGAGTTAGGTAAGAGGCACTTGATGTGCTTTTTTTACACTCCCATTTTTTTTCTAAGCAACAATTGAGCATTTTAAATGTCTGTTAATTGCAAATACAATATTACTGGAAGATAACGATCATTAATTATTGTTGTTAATGCATATTAATGCTATTAATGCATATGCCACTTTACAAATCATTTTCATGAAGACACACACACCAAATGCAAATAACTTGGCCAAAGGGAAGTGCTGGTTGAAATACTGGAGGAAACACAAAGGATGTCACTTAGATGCAGAGGGTCCTGTAATAGAAGCTGATAGGCACTTTGTATTTCACAGTGTATAAATAGCAGTCATATTCATTATTTTATTTGACCCTCCCACAAAACTATGAAGAAAAAAAGAACAGTTGTTATCATCCTCACTTTACAAATGAGGAATCTGCATCTCAGGAAGGATAAGTGGCAGACCAGAAATGAAGACTTCGGACTATAAAATCTCCATCACACAAGTTTATGGCATTCAGAAACTAAAACAAAAGAATAATAGTAAGGTCCGGGTTATTTTGGCATCAAACGCAAAATTTAATTATATCAGAAAACAGGGATGGGGATGTGGCTCAGTGATAGAGCACTTGCCTAGCATGTGTGAGGGCCTAGTTTCCAACCGTACCACCACAAATAAGTAAATATATAAATAAGCAAGTAAATAACATTCCTAGCAACCTTTCTAATTTATGATGTCAGCCGAGTATAGAAAAACAGTACTTCTTCCAAATTAAAGCTGAAAATGTATTATCAAAGATGTTTATAAGCTAGGCATGGTTGCACACACCTGTAATCCCAGCGGCTCGGGAGGCTGAGGCAGGAGGATCACAAGTTCAAAGCCTGACTCAGCAATGGCGAGGTGCTGAGAAACTTAGTGAGATCCTGTCTCTAAATATAATACAAAATAGAGCTGGGATGAGGCTCAGTGTCAAATTCCCCTGAGTTCAATCTGTGGTACCTCGCACCCCCCCAAAAAAAAGATATTTACAGATTGAATCCAATTAACCCACTTCCAATGTTTTAGATCAGAAACAGATGTTTAAAGGAACTGAGCCTTTTAGTAAATTGATATTAAGTTTAAGATATGTGCACCTTTTATAATACAACTAATAAATATATCTAACTCTTTAAGTTCATGAGGCATAAGCACAGAAGTATCCCTTGTGAAATGAACATTTCTCTGACACTCTATCACTTTAAACTATAACCCATGCTCATCAGGGCCATGGTTGGCTCTGGCAGCTCTCTGGAGTGTGGGGCAAAGTCCAAGACCCACCTGTTTGCTAGGGGTTTTCCATGAAATGTTATGGTTATCAAATGACTTTTTCTTTTCTTTTCTTTTTTCTTTTCTTTTCCTTTTTCTTTCTTCCTTCCTTCCTTCCTTCCTTCCTTCCTTCCTTCCTTTCGTTGCTTTGCTTTGTTTTGTTTTTCTTCCCTTGTCTCAAAATTGTTTGCTCAAAGAGACTTCATCCATGGATAACTATTGGAGGCACCATGGGCGATGCTTTGCAATGTAACAATACAAGCAGAATGTAAAACATTTTGCAAGAAGCTTGTAGGGATAAAAGTGGACATCATAATGTAGGTGTGCTGGCAAAATCATATCCATTGTACCACTATCATTGGACTGGATTTAAAATCTTTTTTTCAAACCCAGGCAGTGTTGCTTTTCAACAAGATGGCAAATTCCAAAGGTCTCAGTAGGACTAAATTTTTGTTAAGTCACACTCAATTATTCTCAGCTTTGTAGTCATCCAGCATTGGGCTCTAATTGTAAAACATATTCAGAGTCTATTCATCACTACTCCCAAAGCTCTGTCACATAGAGTGAGATATAACTCAGGCAAGATTGCATTCATTCCTTGATTTTTTCCAATAATCACATGAATTTATAAGCTCGTTGGTGACACTCAAACTCGTTGCATTTCAATTTCAGATTTGAGCCCCCTATTACACCCGATGTGCAGATTTTCCAAGACACCATAGGAGACAGCTTTGGCATTGCGATTGTGGGCTTTGCAGTGGCCTTTTCTGTGGCCAGTGTCTATTCCCTCAAGTATGATTATCCAATTGATGGCAATCAGGTAAGTACATAATCTACCCTGGGTCTGATTAGGCAACTGTAAACAATATTTTGTGCACACAATATTCTTCTAAAACAGAATACTTCTAAGAAAACTTCCTCCTTGTTCTCCTTCAGGAGTTAATTGCCTTGGGATTGAGTAACATATTCACTGGATCATTTAGAGGCTTTGCAGGGAGTACCGCCCTCTCCAGATCAGGGGTCCAGGAGAGTACAGGAGGCAAAACGCAGGTATTTCAATATCCTTGCTGCAGGGGCCATCCCAGAGTTAATAACCGGGAAAGCCAAGCTAAGGGCAGAGTGCAGATTGTGAAGAGAACTGTTTTGTCTGCACAGGTTGCTGGGCTCCTCTCCGCTATCATTGTGTTGATTGTCATTGTGGCCATTGCCTTTCTTCTGGCACCACTGCAAAAGGTAACACTCCTCTCCCTTTAGGTAACATGGCTTTCCTTGGGGTGATACAACAAGGGTCTTGGCTCTTAAGTTCTGAAAGCACAAACTAAACTAGGGAAAATGAGGTAACAGCACACTCTCAAATATTCTCTTTAGCCAGTCCTCCATGGATCAAAAACATTTTCTTTTCTTCCTGGAAGCATTTTATGAATGTTAGGAATGCAGATGCCCAAACTACCTTATCTACTCTGCTCTGTGCATGTACGTAATGCAGAATATAATTAATGTTTAAGCAGCAGAGCGCCCTGGCACTGTAGCTTCAACATGATTGACTGAAGTGGAGATTTTCTTCAAGGCTGAGGTCATCACAGGCTGTCTATCTAATGCAGAGAGTGGTGCTACCAGCCACACAACCTGTTCTCAAAAATACGCCCTGCAGCTCCTAGAGGTTTGGTTTGACTCCAAAACCAACACTGTCTGCTTGCAGGATGGGAGCAAAAAGTTCAAGGTGTCTAATCAGACCCAGCATAGGTTGTGTACTTACCTGATTGCCATCAACTGGATAATCGTCCAGGGAATAGATGCTGGCACATCTACAGACTTCACCTATTCACCCTGGTGCTCCCCTAACTGTGAGGGGTTAGTTAAATGCTTGTAAATTGCTGCAGCATCCCCATTTAAAAAAATAACATCAGACCGTGGAAAACATAGGATCGCTAGGAAACCAGATGATGATAAATACAATGCATTGCTCTTTGTGGTTCTAATATGATTCAGAGGTAGTATATAAAGAACTGGGTCAGGAACTCTGTAGATCTACTTCTAATTCTGGCTCTGCCACTTATTTTCTGTGTGCTTCTGTGCCAATAACTTTACCTCTCTGAACCTCACGTTCTCTATTTGTAAAATAGAGAGGAAATTAGTACCCAACACACACAGCTGCAAAAATTAAATGAGATGGTGTAGATGAAGCACTTAACCTAGGTCATTAACATGAAAGTTCATTAATATGAAAGTCATTAATAGTATTATTATTATTATTATTATTATTATAAAAACATTCTATTGTTTTTCTGACTAGAAGGATATATAGTTCACCAATGTCTACTGGCTGTTATCTAAGCTTTTTTCCCAAGTTGGTTAGTAGCTGAAATGTGAATTTAGTCCCAGGTTTCTGGACATCCATTGTGATCTTCCCAAAGAACCTCATTGGTCCAATCTGTCTTTAAACAATGTGGAATACTATTTACCAAAAACACATATCCTTCATATACTGACTCTTGATTTCAAAATTGATAGCATGAAAGAAGTCAAGAAGTCACCACTATATAAATAGAAAAAACGTGTATCTCAATAAAGTTGACTATGTACACTTACCCTTACATAGAGCACCCTACTGTGTATCCTCAGAGTATAATGTGGGCTCTTCCTCCCCCAACAACTTGGAGACACTGAAGAGACAGTTGCCATTTAAAATCCTCTTTCCTGAATAAACCACACTCCAGGACATTGTCCAGAATGTCAATCAAAACACCTTCCTCAAAGAATCCACGTGATAATTCTCTTTAGATGATCATGTCAGGAATGTCATTCAACCTGAATAGCAACTTTGCTTCTTTTCATCATATGAAGGAAAAATAGCTCATAATAAGTTGGACTACATTTGTTGAGTACTTATTAAGTATCAGCAGAGTTTTAAGCATTTTATACCTATTTAGTCCTTTATATTAATTGCAATGTGAATGTCAGGTTCCGGTAAAATCATCCCCCTTTCTTTTCTATGGTTTCTCTGTGCTCTACTTTTAAAAGTACTCTATTGTATATATATTTCATTATAAATTGCTTCAAAGTATTGTTCCATAGAATACTGACCAGTTGGGAAAAACACCTAATGAAAAAAAAAAAGTCTTTATAAAAGGTTGTACTTGACCTATTTCACACTTATACTAAAGTCCTACAAAAGAAGGAGGGCCATTGCATACAGAGTCCTGTGAGTCTCACACCAGCCAACTACATCAGTGACATTTCTTAAAGCTGTAGTACACTATCAAAACCTGGGCATTGACATTAGTACAGTACTAGTAAATATATCACAGACTTTGTGCTGTTTCCCCCTACTTCTTAACTGACATTTATTTGTACGCAATTTCCTTTTTAAAGTTACTTAAGACCGTGTTTTTTCTAAACAATGATCTCTAGTCTCAGAATGAATCAAATGAACAGCTTAGATAATGAAATGTGAAAGTTACTTGTGAAAATTAGAAATACCTGAATCACTTAAACTATCTTCAAGATATGAAAACAAATGCTGCATTTTTTTGGATATCGGGCTTTCACGGTATGAAAGTAGTCAGTATACTCAGAGTGGAACAGCTCGTATGTCGCAGGGGCATTCCTACCATTGTGTTAAAATCTGAATAAGGATGCGTATACTTAGCTATTCAGCAGGTTTCACCAGACTTAGCACAACTCTCACAAACCAATTATGGCATTCTTGGGTGCAAAGAACTGGAAGCCTGAAGCTTTTTGAGGAAGTCTGAGTTTAGTGAATCCATCATTCTATGATGTCAACACTAGGGCTTTGTGAGAGGCTGTGTTGTCAGTGGCAAGTACTAGCTTGGGGAATATTAGTTTGTTATTAATTATTCAGCTGAATAATTATAGAGCCACTTCTATATGCATTTACTGTAATACCTTCTGAGGGTACACCAGGAAACAAGACACATACAGTTCATGCTGTCAGAGAGCCGACCTCAAGTCTTGGTTAACTTTTTTGTGATCTTTAGCTTCCTCTTACAAAATGGCACCATTGCTGGTCTTCACCAAAGATTGGGATTCTCATTACAGAGCCTCAAGTTCCTAAAGCTTTTTTTTCCCCCCCACAAAGGGCAACCCCCATCTCCTCAACTTTAATAAATAGATACACATTACACGGGCTTTGCTTAGGGAAGAATTTATTCTAGTGCTTACCTGCCAAAGTTCTGAAGATCTACCTTTCTCTGTCCCAAGGTGGAGGCTAGTAAGTGCCATCAGATCATCTATGGCATAATCACAAAGAGCAATTCAGCCCTTGTCACTGTGGGGACAATAAATGCAGGGGCTAGGTCAGAGTTCCAGCTCTAATGTGTCTGTCTTGCATGGCATTGGACACCGGAAAAGGGTGTATTCTTTGATATGCTTTGAGGCCCACTAAAGGACTCACTTATCTGTAGCCTTCACCTTTGCTTCTATATGGTTTATTTGATTAACTTAAAGTACATCTGCTGTCTCTGTGTTTCACAGTCTGTCCTGGCAGCTTTGGCACTTGGAAACTTAAAAGGAATGCTGATGCAGTTTGCTGAAATAGGCAGATTGTGGCGAAAGGATAAATATGATTGTGTAAGTAGATGCAATGGTACTGGAAAAGGAGATGACTCAGATGGTAGTTTAATGTTGATGTAAAATATATATTTACATTGTAAACTCTACGAAATTTTATTTCTATATGTCTGTTCAAAACAACCTCAGATTGTTTTATTTGCCATCTTTAAATTGCATACTCTAATGGACATTCTCTGAGATTTTAATATAAAAGGTTGGACTCCCACAAGCAGAAAATGCTCCACACAACACTAGTGCAGAACTTTCTTAGATCTACCTTTTTTTTTTTTTTTCTTCAGTACCAGGGATTGAACCCTGGGTTGCTTAACCACTGAGCCATATTCTTTATCTTATTTTATTTAGAGACATGTTCTCACTGAGTTTCTTAAGGTCTTGCTAAATTCTTGAGCCTGGCTTTAAACTGGTGATTCTCCAGCCTAAGCCTCCTGAACTGCTGGGATTACAGAAGTGAGCCGCCATGCCTTGCAAAACCTAATTTTTTCTTACAGTCATCATGAATGCCACAGAAACTCTGAATTTTAGGGGTGGATTTTACTTTTGTTCTTCTTTACACAATGTATTCGTTTTCAGAAAATCTGTGAAGAATTGAAATTCTGAACATTCCTTCTGGAAAACACTTTTTCTTTTGAAAAGGCTCCCCCTTTCTCTCAACATGCCTTGCTGTGAAAAGCACAGTCCATAATTTACTCAAGGCCAAAGTCTATGGTGTAAAAATGCTTGTCGGCATACACTATGGTACTTAAAGAACATAAAGTAATAAGTTACCCTTGGTTTACTTTTGTTCCTGATAGATCATTGTGGGGATTTAAACACCCTTTTGGCATGCTAAAAGTCTCTTAGAAACAGTAGCCATTGATTAAGTGAGCAGACCAAGAATTAGATTGGTATAGGCTCTACCAGTTAATTTTCTGATTTTAACAACTAGGCTGGTTCTGTAATTTTTGTCGCGAAAATTAGACTGTTTCCTTTACTGGTTCAGAGGTGGAATTAGAAATAGATGCATTTTCTTTGGCTCTTTTTTATATTTGCTAGTGTTTCAGTGGCACAGACCCTGAGTCTGCAGAAATGACCTCTCAAGACAGGTGTCCTCCTACGTACTTTGCTCCCTGGACCAAGATAACATCTTCTAACCTCTGCTTTTGGCCCCGGAAGTTCACACATTCTCATAGCTCTGGACATAAAACATTGTACTTTACTCAAAGTAAATCGTATGTATCTGTTGCTTTCTTTTTACAGTTGGTTTGGATCATGACCTTCATCTTTGCCATTGTTCTGGGACTGGGGTTAGGCCTGGCGGCAAGTGTGGCATTTCAGCTCCTCACCATCGTGTTCAGGACCCAGTTGTGAGTGCTCATTGTTCTCTGCATCCTGGCAGGCTTCGACCTGCACAATCAGAAGAGTAAAAACTTTGTCAAGGGTTAAGAGGAGTTTGGCTAATAGGCATGCATATCTATCAGGACTAACAAGTACAGCCTTCCTCAGATTGCTCACCTCAAGGATGGAAGGGCAATAGAATGGCCCAGATACAGGGCGAGAGCCCAGGGAGAAGCTTGCTACTGGTCTACTTCTGGCTTTGATAATAATTCAAAGAAATCATTTAGATCTCTGAGTCTGTCTGCCCACCTGTAAACCAGAAGTGATCTATGCTAAGTGAGTTTAATTTCATTGTCTCAGACCTGTTAAAACACGGGAATGTGTTACTGAGAAGACAGTGAAATTCTCCAGCCCTCTTCATAGGTTGTTAAATTGCACTCTCATCTTAAAAGCCTGGAGCTGGGTTAGAGAACTTCTCAAAGGCCCCTCTAGGTCTTAATGTTCCACAAAGACTGGAATTATTCTTAATAGTCGTGCAGTTCAAGCATCTTTCTGATGTTTAAATCTTTGTCATATAACATCACCACCATGTGGTGATTCAACCCGTATTGTGTTAAGTGGTGTGATTATAAAGAGAAAGAAGGCTCCATGGGAACTAAGGCTTTCTAGGGCAGAAGTCACCATAATAGTTAAAGTGATTCCTTGACTAACAGAATATGCTGGTATTGGAATACATTGGTATTGCTTTTGCACTTTTTTATTCATTTACATTTTTATTGGATTCTTTACTGGGGACCCATCAAATACAGAAACAAACTGAATGGTCATATAATCAAGTAATTTTACTTTTCCATGTCTTCATTCATATCACTGCCTTACCTCCCTTAAAAAGCCGTGGTATCCAGAATGAACATGGCAAAAGGTTACAGCATTGCTTTGTAAACTGGCAAATTGGAAACACTGTTTTAGGAGCAGTGGGAGGACACAAAGATAAGTAAGCAAAGTGTCTGCCATCTAGAGTCTCTGATGGCATAATGATTCCCCAGTTTTTTAAACTGAAAAGTGAACCTGTGTTGATATGCTAGAAAGAAAACAATGTTACCTTACAGGTCTAACAAATATGCATGAATAATTTATTTGCTGTTGTTTTTCCCTACAGTCCAAAATGTAGTACACTGGCTAATATTGGAAGGAGCAACATCTATAAGGACAAAAAAGACTATTCTGATGTAAGGGAGATTCATTTTTGTCTTTGACTTGCTAAATGATATTGATATGAATCTACTGGGTACCATCTAATATTCCTTCTCTGCCTTATAGATGTATGAGCCGGAAGGAGTGAAAATTTTCAGATGTCCATCTCCAATCTACTTTGCAAACATTGGATTTTTTAAGCAGAAACTTATAGATGCTGTAAGGTTTGGGGTTGTTATTTTTTTTTTTTTAATTTTGTTGAGTCTCTGGGAATGAAATGTTTGGTTTTTAACAAGAATGTTATTGACCTCATGTATGCTGAGGCTGAGTTGTATCAGCGTTTTTTGTGTTCCATGTCCCACGGCAGGTATAAGGGATCCATTAATGTGTTCTGAAATAAGCCTCTTTAGATGAGGTCCAATATAGAATCCTTTAATCCAATTCTGCTATAGAGTTAAAAAAAAAAATACTTACCACAGGTTTAGTCTGCTGGTCTTTAATGGATATTATCTTACATATTTTCTTTGGGCATCAACTTCAGAGACAACAGAGGAGCATTTAATATTTGACTGGATCATGGAAGAGATAACAGTTGTAAATGAATATTTAACAGTAAATACTGGGTGTTGGTAAAGGTGAGAAGGAAGCAGTCTTTAATACTGGGAAACAAAAGCCCAGAACTCTTCCTAGATACAGACCTTTTCGTCTGATCTGTGCCTTGCATAAAGTTGCCCTAAACCTCATTATCATTCAGTATGCATCAGATATTACACTATCTAAGTTGGTTGTTTTTTTTTTTTCCTTAAGACTCCAGACAGCTTTTATTGAAAAGATTATATGTGGTGCTGAGGATCGAACCCAGGGCCTCACACGTGCTAGGCGAGTTCGCCACCGCTGAGCCACAACCCCAGCCCCTTGGTTTGGTTTTTTGGTTTTTTGTTTTGGGGTAGCAGGGATTGAACCTAGATATGCTGAGCCATATCTCCAGCTCTTTTTTATATTCTATTTAGAGGCAGGGTCTCACTAAGTTGGTTAGGGCCTCAATAAGTGCTGAGGGTAGCTTTGAATTCTCAAAACTCCTGCCTCAGCCTCCGGAGGCACTGGGATCATAGATGTACACACCACCATGGCCGGCCGCAATTATTTTTTAAAATGGTATCCTTTTGTATATATGGCTTTCTATATGCCCTTTACACTTAATCTAGTATCTTTCCCTCTAACTACATTTTTTTTTTTGGCCAAAGATTTTTGTTACATATTTGATCCCCCTTTCTTACTACTCTTGAACTAAAATTATAGCAATAAGAACATATTTGTGTTGAAAAGGGGGAAATGAAGGTTAAGTCCAGAGCTAATAACAAAATTATGAAATAAAGTCATATAGGGATAGGTTTTATAAAATATAATCAAATAAATTGTAATAGAACAAAAATTATATACAGAAGCAGAATTCTCATTAGGTATCACCATACTCAAATAAAATTCCCTAACAATAGTGAGGGCTCAAAATACAAAAGAATTCAAATGAGGCTTACATCTATTAATGTATCATTTGTAGATAACTCCTGGACTGTATAGAGAATTTTAAATGTTGATAATTGCATATGGACTAAGCGAATCACAGGTCTGACGCAATGTTGTTGCCGATGTTGTTTAAATCATGTTAGGATTTTATCACAGTATCCTTATTTTGTGTCCTAAGCCCCCAACGCATGGCTAGTTATAAGAATTATACTATCGAGGTAGAATAGTCAGTACTCTTATAACAGAGCAATGGGTTTTTCAGGTTGGCTTTACTCCACTTCGAATTCTACGCAAACGCAACAAAGCTTTGAAGAAAATTCGAAAACTGCAGAAGAGAGGCCTACTACAAGTGACACCCGTGAGTTGCCTGGCCCATTCCATGTGTTATATAGCTAACAGTTCAGTAGGATATAAGTCAAGGTGTGAGTCCTGTTCCTTTAAATGAAATGCCAGATAAACAAGTTATTCCATGTGTCACTGTTATTTCAAAAATGGTCTCCTCAAATTTTTTGTCTTGGGAAAAGTACCAAAGACAAGTGTCTACAGTCCCATTGCTTGACCTGACTTTAAATCTATGTTCTAGAAACTCCTTGGTTATCCTCAACATACACGTTTTTCACAGTCAGGATTATCATGCTTGTTATCCTCTCTTGCAGAAAGGATTTATATGTACTGCTGATGGCTTCAAAGATTCTGATGAAGAGCTAGACAACAATCAGATGGAGGAACTAGATCAGCCCATCAATACCACAGATCTGCCTTTCCAGATAGACTGGAATGCTGATCTTCCCCTCAACATCATGGTCCCCAAAATCAGCCTCCACAGCCTTATTCTCGATTTTTCAGCAGTGTCCTTTCTTGATGTTTCTTCAATGAGGGGTCTCAAAACGGTAATTTATTTATTTTTCTTAATGGAAATAATCAATCATTAACTAAAGGAAAAATTATAGTTGTGGAAGGATGTTCCTTTAGATAATACACACTGAATTAGAGGTAAAATTTAATCTTACAATATTCCATGAAAGGGCTGAAGGGGAGGGAGTGGTGTGTTCCATGAATTCTTTAAAAATGCATTTCCCATGGAACTGCTTACAATTTTGAAGGTGACCAAACCCCATTCTAAAGTAGGCTGAGCCTTCTCTCAGACCACTATGCTCACACTCCTGTACAATATGGGCATTGAAAATGGTGCTTTCAAATCCTGGGGGCATGTATCTAACATTATCCTGAAATCAGAGAAGATTTGGAAAGGTCAGGGAAACAGCGGAATAGTGCGTTTTTTTTTTTAATCCTCATTCATTATAAGTTGATGAAATTTCACTTGGCTATTTACAGTAATATCAAAAAACAGATATATAAAAGAACAAGAGTTACATGTGATTTAAAAATACGGCAAAAACAATCAAGTTGCAGGTCTTTCCACAATTTCATTAACATTTTTAAAAGCAAATAAATATGCAACAAAGATGCAAAAACAGAAAATTTAAGAAATTCTACATTTTCCTTAGGTTTTCACAGAAATCTTCCTAAGTAATCTGAATTAAGATAAGATCTATTAAATATTAATAAGCTGGACACAAAATTAGGAAATGGGATCAGTTTAGTTTTCTTCCAACTTATCTTGAAATTGGTTTTGATGCTACATAATTCTGAAGACTGCTTGCCTTTTCTTTTTTAGTTTCATTTTTGTTTATATTAGCTTTTTTTTTTTTTTAATCCTAGCAGCATAGCACAAAGAACAGGGACAGGGTTTTTTTCTGAATGACATATAGGCCGTAGTGTTTTGTTTTAATGTTATATACCCAGAAAGCTCTAGTTCCTATCATCCTCACTAAAGATGTTAGTTTAAAATTAAATCATAGAGCCAGGCACAGTGGCTCATGCCTGTAATCCCAGCCACTTGGGACACTGAAGCAGGAGGATGGTGAGTTCAAAGCCAGCCTCAGCAATGGCGAGGCATTAAGCAATTCAGTGAGACTTTGTCTCTAAATAAAATACAAAATAGGGCTGGGGATGTGGCTCAGTGGTTAAGTGCCCCTGAGTTCAATTCCTAGTACCAATAATAAATTAATTAAATCATTCTTGATTTTATGAGTTTGAGGCATGAGATTTTCTCAGAACACTTCCCTCAAGATTGATCATTTTTAACTTCTTATTGAGGAGGGAGGAGGGCTGTTCTATTCAGGTTTCTTTCTTTCTCTCATAGAGCCTTGTTTTTAACTTTAGTATCTACCTATACTATTACCTCTTTTCAAAAAGTAAAAGGTTCTGAAAGTAATATATCCCCCAGAATTGTTTTCCTTATGTATCTGATAAGTGATACTGTTCCCTAAAAAAAAGATGCACTTTTTTTTAAAACAGATTTTGCAAGACTTTATCAGGATCAATGTAGATGTGTATATTGTTGGAACTGATGGTAAGTTCTTTTATATTGATTTTATGCTCTGATACTAACTGCAGGCTCACTGCCAATGCTTGATCTAGACAGCCTCTCCAAAAAACAGGTATTTTATACAATCATCAAAAAGGAAACCTAATTCGCAGTTGAGCCAATAAAATTCCCTATGGAAACAGTTTCACTGTGTTTGAGTTGTGTTGATACATAATTAAATGAATTTTACAGTTTGAATTCTTAGTAAGCATCAAATGAGCAAACATTATTTTTTTACTCCAAACTTGCTGTATTAGTCATGTTTTGTGTCTCTCTTCCCTCTTCCCTTGCATTCCTCTGCTATCACATCTTGATTTCGGCTTCCCTTGGATAATGAGAATGCCCTTGTCAATGTTATGGTGATGTCCAGCTTCTCAAGATTAATGGCCTCCTTTTCAGTCTCCTCCTGCTGGAGCTTGCTTGAACATTAGACCGTTTCATTGGCATTTGTCTTCAAAATTCTCATTCCCTTGACTTCTGTGAGTTGAATTCCCCTCCTACCTCTCTAGTATTTCCTCTGTTTCTGACACTGGTGCCTCTCCTATCCCTTAGCAGTTTGTCTTCCCAGCCTTCTACCTTAAACTCCACAGTTCTACTTCCATGAACTCCTAGTCAATATCCTTCACCCTTACGATAACTTGAAGCGTACCTACATGTTAATGGATCCCCATACCATACCTCCAGTGCAGACCTTTCTTCTGAGCTGCAGATCCATGTATTCAGTTGTCTGCCTGTCCCCCCCAGGCACCTCCGACACACGTATTCTAAACTATATAAATGACCCTTCCTTCCTTCCTAAACTGCTCCTTTCCTAGTCAATTACCACATCACTTTTGATCCAGTTGCCCAAAATGGAAACCCCAGAACTCTCTTTAATTTCTCCCTCTCTCCTTCCCTTTACAGGTAGTAAGCCACCAGCTCCTAAAAATATTTCCCCTTAAGTCAGTCTCTTCCTTGGGCGGGGATGTGGCTCAGTGGTAGAGTGCCTGGAAAGCATGAGGCTCTGGGTTCAGTCCCCAGCACACATCCCCCTGCCCCCCCCCCAAAAAAATCAGTCTCTTCCTCTCCATTTCCACTGCCTTAATCCAGATCATTATAAGACCTTTCTAACTAGTGTTTTTGTCCATTGCTAGAATGATCTCTTATCTCATTTTTTTTTTCTGACTAGAAAATTCCTTCTAGAATTTTCCCCAACAATAACTGTGACAATTTCTTCCTTACCCAGACAGTGCACTGGATCTTCAGACTGTTTGCATCTGTAGAATGCACATCACTTAATTCTGCAGTTCTGTGTTTGTGTCCCCACTAGACTGTAATCTCTTCCAAGGGCAGTTATTAGTATTGTTTACCTAATTATCTAGTTTAGAACATGCCACACAACTACTATTTGTTCTGGGAGTGGCTACAGCAGTGAATGACAAATCCCTGCCCTTGTGGAGCTTATAGTTTCATGGGAAAGTCAAATAATAAACAAAGCAATATTTAAGATAGTACTATAAAGAACAAAGCAGGGTTAAGGATATAGAGCCATGGGCATGTTGCTATTTTAGACTAGCCATTAGGGATACCCAGTAATGTGACCCTTGAGAAGAGACTGAAATGAAATAGGGGAGTCAACCTTGACAGAATCTGGAGTGTATTTTAAGTGTATTTATTTTAAGTGTATTTTAAGGAGTATCTTGTACAACTAGCACACAGATCTGCAAGGAGACAGAATTAGCACCTTTAATCTCTCTTGCCTCCTATCCCCAAGTCTATAGATATATTCAGTTCAAGGGTTGCTTAAAATTATAAATGTTCTCACTCAACTATTAACTCTTATTAATTTACTAAACAATTTTATTCCTTCCCCATCATTCCAGATCTCTTTGAAAGTGTCCATTCCTGCTGCCTGGTATCCCTTCTCAGTCAATCCAACATCACCCCTCTCCCCTACCCTCTCCCTTGGTCACCTGTCAAAAGCTTGCCTGTGAGCACTTTCCCATCTCCATACTTTTGCTCCTCCTCTTCCTCCACCTCTCTCCAAATCATAGATACTAGAAAAGTGACATCTATTCAGTTAATTTATCCTAGATATCCACCAAGAGGAAACAATTTTTACCTACTGTCTCAGAATTTCCATAGTACATACATGTACTGCACCTCTCTTCTTGAAAACAACAAAAAAGATAATACAAATACCTATTGTGTGCTGGGCATTATTTTTGAAACTAGTAATAAAGAAAAAACTGGACTGCTCCTTTCCCTAATTATTTTATAAAACACTTTTTCCTTTCAGTACTACAATTATATATAAATATTCTATGTTCCTCCAGGGTGAGATTCAGATCTAATTTGCCTTTTGATCCTTTTTATTACTCAGCCAGAGCTTTGCACATAGTAGACATGAGGTCATATTTGGTTGAATGATCTGTACAAACAAATGCTGTTTAGTGCCTATGAGAATGGGATTTCTCAAAGGTGATGGCAGTGGTAATATGAAATCCTAAGGAAGATGCTTTCTAATAAATCCTGGCAGCTCTGGGAAAATGGGCTACAGTTAAGTAACTGGTAACTGATAGGTTTGGCAATCAAAAACCAAAGCATATCACAGATCTATCATGTTTTGTGTTTTTGAAAGAATACCAATTTTTAATAACTATATTTGATGTTCTAGCCATTGAACAGGGAGATTAACTTACTAGGTTCCTGCCTAAATAAAAGTGGATTAATTTTCCAGGAACTACTTCAGATTTTCCCATTTGAATCTTTTCCTTCTTCCTTTTTACAGTACAGCATTAAATAGGTATGTTTATTAGAAAGGTACTCTTTAATTCCAGGAGACATTGCACTAGTGATACAAAGTTATCCTATTGTTGCAACCCACACTTAACCAAATGTCAATGAAATGCACATTTGCAAATGGAATAATAAATTATCAACCTCAAGAGGAAAACCTGCAACCAATAACTTCTTCCTAAGTGTTACAGTTTCTTTTCTCTCTTCAGATGATTTCATTGAGAAGCTTGCTCGATGTGAATTTTTTGATGATGAAGTCAAGGACTCAATATTTTTCTTAACAATTCATGATGCTGTTTTACATATTTTGATGAAGAAAGATTATAGCACTTCAAAGTTTAATTTCAATCAGGTACCAGCTCTTTGATGACATCACATTTATAACAAACCATTGCATTTCTTAATTTTTCATTATATTTGAACATTTTAAAAACTATACTTTCATTCTTTTTCTTAGAAAAAAGAAATGAAATCTGATTTTACCATAAATACAAATGGAGGATTGCGTTATCGGGAATATCAGGTAAGATTCTTCAACAGACTTATCTTTATCTAGATATCACAGCAAATAAATAAATAAATAAATAAAGTAGGAGGGCCTCTTCCAGGATACTGTAGAAAGTCTAGTAGTTGTTTGTTTTTGAGTCTCTCTGCTTCATCCCTAGAAAACTGAAGCAATGCCAACCAATCTCATGGGAAATTTTGAAGAAAATTAACTCAAACCAGTAAAAGCAAACCACCCGCCCTCAAAAAAAGCCAGGATAGAAAATAGTGATGATAGATCTCTATTCATACAGTACTGAGAATATCTTTTTTTATTTTTTAAACTACTTATAGCCATGATCTTATTCTAGCCTTGTACTGTCATGAGACAGAAGAGGTATTGCTATTGCTGTAAATAGATGAATTAGTGATAAAGTTGAGAAACTAATCCAGGTGCATGGGATGTCCTTAGCACAGTGCTTAGCTCAACATGAAAGTTAAGTTATTTTCCTTCCTTATGAGATGACTTACCAATCACTTAACTGGATAGTTCCATTTCATTCTAGAATGTCAAATCAAAATGGGTTTCTGTTGCAGGACAGGTATATGGTGGTGGATTCCATTCATTAATTCAATCCTTACAACAATATACAAAGAGGATATCAATATTAGAAATGAGGAAATTGGGAAAGAGTTTCAAAAAATTTGTTTAAGGTCACACACCAAATGACAATAACAGAATTTAAACTAGTACCTATCTGAGGACAAGACCTGAGCTCTGTTCACAATAACTACTTGTATTCTAATGGATTGAGGGTCCTGCAAAAATCTACCAACTTATCTTCAAATACAACAAGACTGGTGGTATTTTCTTAACTGAGGAAAGGTCTAAGAACAGCAAAAAAGAATGTAGATTAGAAATAAAGAAATGTTTAATGTAAAATAACCTGGACCAAAGAGTAATAGCAAAGGTCAAATGAAGAGGTCATTGCAGAAAGTTAGGGAGACCAAAGATGAGAGGAGAGTCAAGTACCACCATGCTACCTCCCAGCACTGGTTGAATGATCTGTACAAACAAATGCTGTTTAGTGCCTATGAGAATGGGATTTCTCAAAGGTGATGGCAGTGGTAATATGAAATCCTAAGGAAGATGCTATCTAATAAATCCTGGCAGCTCTGGAAAAATACAAACTCAGCTCCTTGCCCTAGTACAATAAAAAGTACCTGGGATAAGTGCTCTATCTGATGTGTGTTGTGGTAAGAATTTGTTCCTAATTAGTAGGCTCTCCTTCACCTGATTGTTTCTTTTGCCTCTTTTGCTGAGAAGAAGCTTTTTTAGTTTGAGTCCATCCCATTTGTTTATTCTTGATATTAATTCTTGTGCTACAGGAGTCTTATTAAGGAAGTTGGGGCCTAATCCAACATGATGGAGATTTGGGCCTACTTTTTCTTTTAATAGACACAGTGTCTCTGGTTTAATTCCTAGATTCTTGATCCACTTTGAGTTTTGTGCATGGTGAGAGACAGGGGTTTAATTTTATTTTGTGGCATATAGATTTCTAAAACCCAAGAACAGTGTTTAAATATGATGCTGATCCAAGCTTTAAAACTTTAAAACAAGGAACTATGCTGTACCTTGCCTTCCCATATTAAAAAAAAAAAGAAACATTTTGGCCGGGCTCAATGGCATATGCCTATAATCCCAGTGTCTCAGGAGGTTTATGCAGGAATATTGAGAATTTGAAGCCAACCTCTGAAAATTAGTGAGGCGCTAAGCAAATGAGTGAGACCCTGTCACAAAATTAAAAATGAAAAAGAGGGAATGTGGTTCAGTGGTAAAGTACCTCTGGGTTCAATCCCTAGCACCAAAAAAAAAAAAAGTAACAACACTCCTGACTTTGCTTAGAGGAAGTCAGCATTTGTGGATAGGCTACTAGCAATAATTAGAGGTAAAAACTGAATGTGGCTGGGGCCAGGCACTGTGCTACGAAAATTCCTTGGAGGAATTCCTTGGAGTTTGTGTGGTCCCTAAAACAAATATAAAGAAATATATTTTGACAAAACATTATATTGTTATTTTGATTGGGCAAAAGCCAAGTCTTTGAAACACACACATACTAAAAATGATATAACATGGATCTACATTAAGCAAGTAGTAAATCATCAGTGCATTCTGATCAATAAATTGAACACAAAAATATTTCTTGATGACTCCAGAAAATTTAACTCCTAAGATGATTATTGAAAGACAAAATTTAACAAATCTTTTAAAACAAGAACTTTTTCTTTTTGCAGGTACCACTTGAAACAAAATTCTAATCAAAATATAATTCAGAGGGACCCTCATCTGGTTGTCACATAAAGAACAACTTTATACCCAGAAAGTTATTGATAAGTTCATACATTGTATGAAGAATATTTGTATTTGATAGAATTATGTTTCAAACTTTGGAACGAGATTGTTCTAGCATGGTATATTTTTCACATATCTATATAAAATTATGTAAATACTCTTTAATTTTATACCTTAGATTTATCAAAGGAAAATTATTTTGTATATATGTATTTTTGTAGCACTGTCAGATTTCCATTCAAGTCAGAACTTTCACAATGCTTTGCAGTGTCTTTATACCACTGCTTTGAATCTCATAATTTATACAGGTCATGTTAATATTTCTCCATTTTAAAAAATTCAGTTGTACAGCAAATGTGTTGTTTTATTAAATTTGTTATAAGCTTTCTGATACATGCTTGCTGTGGGTCCTTTTTATAGTGGTCTGAATAGAAAACTGCTACATGAGAATCTTTTAACAAAACTCCTGTGATGAGACTTCTCTGCACAGATTTTATGACTGCTCCTCCAGCTTTTTAAAATATCTAACCTACTATCCAGATTGACACAATTCTCCTAATGTCATATGTGTAACTACAATTAGCTTTTGAGGCAAATCCTTATTTTCCCCTTCTTACTATGAAAAATGTATAGGCTAATGTGGGCTATAAAATGACAAAGCAAGGTAAAAAGAGAGACCATGATGGATAGATAGCCAATTTTTCCTGGCCTCAATGGGAAGAAAACAAGTGGTAGGAAAAGGGATGACTCTTTTCTTTTTTCACTGCTGGTCATTGCAACTGAAAGGGCAGAATAACATCTTTCGAGCTCAATTTCACTGGAGAATGAGATTCAGTACCCAGGCTTCTTTCTCACTGGCATTGTTCCAATCATCTTGTCAATGGGAAAAGCTGTCTCAATTGTTTTAGATTTATCTTTCAACATTTATTGTCAAAATACTCTTTCATCCTTTGTTAACAGTGTCTTATACTGAGAGGGTTTGTTTACTGGATGTAAGCCCAAATAGAGAAAAGCATAATAAAGGTTATTTACATAGCTGATCTTAAATCAAACTATAATATCAGTACTCTTTACAGTGTTTCTTAAACAGTTTGAATCATGAACATCTCATACAGTTTTATGCACCTTGTGGATTTTAGGGGAAAAAAATATATACACATGTATGTGTGCCCTACAAACCTCAGAATAAGATCTTTTCCTTGATATAAGGTATAGACTAGAAATTGAAAACGGGAGTCTATTTAAGTGATCATTTGACTTGAGCAGGGGACAAACGCTTTATATAGGGCTGTGGCTGAAGGCTACAGTATCTTCCCAGGAACTGATGCCCTCCACATTCTTGCCAACCAAGATCACAGGGAACAGGCACAGGTGCTTCAGTTGTCAGGCCCACATCACCATACATTCAACCTTTATATCCTGAAATGTTTCTTTTCTTCTAGGTCTCTAAGGTGGATATGCTTTGAGTAGTGGGAACATGTGGGCCTGGGCCTCTACTTAGTAAGCAGTAGAATTTATTTACTAGTACAGAAATCTGATCCCTGATTTAGGATGAGGATAGGAAATCACGATGCAAGATAGAAATAAAATTATGTAAACTAGAGGAAGATTGAAGGAGAAAATACAATTGGAAGACAGAACCACCTTGAGGAGACACAAATACATTATTGAAATTAAAAAGTTTGAAGCTAAACATGTTGAGCAGTTTGTCTTATAATTAATTAAATATTTGATAAATATTTGTAATAAGTTGCCACTTAGAAACATAAATAAAATGCTTTAAACAAAAGTCTGACTATTCACTGTATGAACAAGAATAGAAGAGGGATAATTAATTCACTTTTTTTGGTACTTCCTCCTGGATTTCACCTTGTTGAAATTGATCTGCTCCCCTTATTGTGTTCTACCAGCATATTTTCTGACTCTGTGATTTTACAACTCCACTCTTCAGGCTGCTCAGGCTGACAAATCTGTCAGAAAATCTTATTGACTATGTAAACATACAATCAATTAATTCTCAAAATAGCCCTTACAAGTAGACACTATGATTATGCTGACTTTGTAACAAAGTAAAACAAGGCTCAACAAGGACACAAAAACTAGTCTAAGGTATATAGTTGCAGAAACCTGTCCAGAAATCCAACTTCAGAGCCCAGGTTTTTAATTAGGAAATATTACTTCCCAAAGGAAATTAAGACCTGTCTAAAAACTAATCTATTTCAAAGCAGGACATTTTTTAAGGTAAAAAAAAAAAAATCCTTCCACTATAACTTGAAAAATACATAAAAGAAAATCTCTTGAGAAAATCTTAGGGATGACTATCAAGGACAATTCCAAGACAAGTTAAACTGTGAGCCCCTAAGGGTCAGGGACTATATCTTTTTTGTTCATTACTACATACCCACATCTAATACATATTAGGTGCTTAATTTTTATGCATATTTATTTATATACATATATGTATCCTTCCACAAGTCATCCAGTTCTTAATGCCTACAATGCTACCACCATCATCTCTTGTGTAAAGTATTAGAACACTCTTCTGACTGGTCTCTGCCAGATTCTCCACTCTTTTAGTCAGGAGGCTACAATGGCTTCTCAAATCTATTGGAGCAGACTCAAAGCCTTCAAGGCCTATTATTTCCCTATTCCATTATTATCTCTGACTCCCCCCGCCACACACACACACACACACACACACACACACACAACTGGCTATTGAACTCAAGGTCTTTCTTATACATGCTAAGAAAGTGCTCTACCACTGGCCTAAAACCCCAGTCTTTGACCTCCTAGTATCTCATTTATTCTACTCCAGACTCCTTGCTTCTCCTCAAATATGCAAGGTGCAATCTCATTTCAGGCCTTTACAAACTGCGCACTATGCTTCAAAAACTCTGACCTACATTATCTGACTTTCACTCAATATTTTTCATCAAATGTCACTTTTTCAATGAGTTCTACCTAGTCCATTTTACTTAAAATCACAAACACCTAGTCCAATTACCCTTTTTCTTTTTTGCATAAGATTTTACCACATGGTCTACAATCTAATGTTTATAAATCACTTTGTCTCTTTTAAAGATTGTGCATCCCACCTATCTGGAGCAGGGTCAAATTCTTTATTAAGGCCTTTCCATCACTGAAAAATACTTTTGAGGATGCTTAAAATAACACTTGTGTTACAAGTTTAAAACTTTACTTAGTGCTTACTTAGCACTATGTCTAGTGCATAAATATTTGAATGAATCTTCATATTCTACAATAGGAACTCAGTATATAATTATTGAATAGAGGTTATGAAATTTACATTTGGCATGGATTAAGATGCTTACCAGCTGAGCATGTCTATTTAAATGTCAGATCTATAAAATGATTAGTCATACAAGTTAGTTTTAACAAGACTTATCAGAAGCTCACTGGGCAAGTGATTGAAGGTATCTCTGCCTTTATTTGTAATATTAGTTTGTTTCCCCACAGGATATCATACCTGTGTAACTGAAAGTGACTAAAATTTTTTTAAAAATAAAAGATTTTAAACAAGGAAGTAAAGTAAAATGTAGCAGGAAATTTCCAATCTGAAGGCAAAAGGACAATTTAACAGAAAATGTGCCGAGGTCCAGCTGGGCACAATAACCAGGAGGTGAAAAGCAACTTCAAGGTTGAAACGGGAACTGCTTTATTGCAGGGAAACTGAGCGGGAACTCAAGGTAGCAGGAGCCACTTTATTACAAAACAGCAGAGGTACATATACCTGATTACACACAGCTTGACTCAATTAGCATCATCCAGTTACAGCAATCAGCCAATAAGAAATCTCCACCAACTTAACGGCTCAGTGGCGTTGCCTCACAAACCACTCCTCCTGGCAAACTGCCAGGCGCCATCTTGACTTGATTTGTGGTCCCCAACAAAAATGGGCTTAAATTCAATATGACAGGGCTTACAACTACTTAAAATAGAAATGATAGATATTCTTGGGTCATAGAAAATATTTTGTAATGAGTTATTTTTTTAAAAGATGATCCTGAACAATGTGAGAACCAAACCTATTACTTACTTTTCAATACTATGATTTTTGTAAAGCCTAAAAATTCATAATTTTTAAAGATGGGGAAATTAAGCTTTAACACAAGTGTTATTTTAAGCAATCACCCTTAAAGTATTTTTCGACGATGGAAAATCCAAGGTGCATGAATCAAAACAAGGTGTTTGAAAAGCCAAGAAAATTCTTATTAGTAGTACTACCTAACATTTCATCTGGCATAATTCCCATTCCTTTCAGCTTAGTGTATTATCTAAACACTGCTTTACTACAGTGTGCATTTATTGTAGTAAGTAAATTCTGCTTGGTTTCTAGGCCATACTCATACAATACAGACAAATTACTCACAAAAAAGTAAATTCCCTTCAATCCGGCTATAATGTTTGAATATGATTATGTCAAATTTCATTTAACATGATGATTTGATGGCTAATCTGAGAAGTATATTTTTTAGATATTTGTGTTTTTTCATGTACTTATAAGACTATTTTTAAAAATTCATGAAAGACAGCAGTGTAGGTCTTTATCAAAAAGATACTCTCCCAGAATATCATTCAGAACAAAACTTTAAAGCAGTTCTATATATTTCATAAACAGCCACTTATTTTTGAGTTTTTAAATTAGGCTCAAATCTCTTTTCTACTTATATTTTGGCTAGATATGATTAGTAATTACACAATTTTGAATAAAATGGATAGTTTCTTAAGGTCTTTGCAACAGATTGTTCCCCAAATACTATACTGTACAAACATGCACCAAAGAAATATAACAATTTGTTGGTTTTAATCTTTAAAAAAGTGAACCTAATTTTGCTGTGGAAAGTTATAACATAAACATCGAAAATTTTGTATTCTCCCAAGCATGTCATCATTAGGTAAAAACTCATCTAGGCAAAATAGTATTTATGCTTCCATTTTATTGTTTTTAAGAATTAAACTGCCACCTCAGTAGTCTTAAGAGCAATATAATGAAACATACATACATTTAGACTTATGTCCATCATAGCTTCAAAGGCTTCCCTGAAATAAGGCTGGGATTCACATCTTTTTCCTTAAGAAAAGAAACACTAACAGTAATTTTGTTTTCCTTCTACCCACCCACCCTCATTCAAACAATGAACTGATGAATTCAAGTCTAACACCATTTAAAATTTTTGTCCGCTACAAGACATTCATCTGATCTGCCTCCCTGCATATTTATTAAACATAACTGAAAAATAAATCATTTTAAAAAGTCTATAAGAATTATTAATGTGGAATTTCACCATGATAATATTTTTTTTATCCAAAACACAAAGTGGTTTCTTGCCACATTCAATGCTAGTGAATTTCAATAAGCGCAGGAGAGC